TTATCTTCACATTCTTTGTCTGAATTTCAATCATACATGCATGATTATTGTGCACAGACCAATTAAATTGGACCGGCATGCTTGTGGTGCATGTTTTGTGTTACTACGGTAGGCCTTTACACAAGTAGCCATAATCTCTGCAGATGGTGAGAAGGCCAGCTCAAACCAACTACCATAATATCGTCATTGGATCTATAGGTCTCAAGTAAGATCTCTTCATATTTTACATTTGTTAGAAGTGCACCTGCACATCGCTGGTTGTGGCTTCGCTGATTTACTGAATGTCTTGCATGAAGATATACACATTTCAGTCTAAATCTACAAAAGGACCAAGACCAAGTAAGATTAATCCACATTTTGATTTCCTGAATAGTGCATCTACCTACACAGAGATTGCTTATTAGCCATTTTCCGCGAGCCTTGCATTAAGTTTCGTATCTGATTATCGAGCTTTTAGTGTATGAACATTTGTTCTTAATTTCGAGAAAGCTGTTAATTAAAGTAAGGTTAGATTACTTAACATTTGCGACCTTGTACTTTCCGATTTAAAGACAGAAAGCATTGGGCTCATAGAAAAACGAAAAACTAAAGATTGGGCTAATTATGTGCCCTAGTGCAAACGTGTGACGACTGATCCAATAAATTGAACTCTGTTTACTTTTGTCGCTTATGTGAATCAAAAATGTACTATTTATTTTTTCTGTGAATGATTTCAACGCTTTAAGGTTAATTTCACCATTGTGTTAAAGTTTAAACTATTAATTGAAGATTAAAATTACATTTTATATAAAAATGTCATTTTAAACTTTGTTAAACCCAATGGTGGAATCGGCCCCAAGTTAGTTGTATCATGGTCATTGATTAGTTGCAATTTTGCAAATAATATATTCTCCAGCGCTTAATAGCCACTTGAGTGATAATTAAATCAGTTATATTTTATTTCTTTCATTTACTTTATTCAGCACCTCTCGGCTGAAAACCGGGCATATTTAAGCTTTTAAACCCCCTTCTTTTATAACCTCGGCCTTCCACCACCTTTTAAGTCAATGTCCATAAAAAGGAAATTCATTTTTTTATAATTCAAATAATGATACTTAACCAGAAATAGTACAATAAAAACTTGTAAATCCGGTTCTGCTCTTCCGCCATTTTAGTGAGTGCAAAAGCCACGCCTACCGGTCCCACTTTTGTATATCAAAAATAATACATATGACGTATCCTTACGTTGCCTTATCAATGACTAACAGGCATCCCGACGGATTTACGCAATGAAAGTACACTCTGCGCATCAAGTATTTCACTATTTCATTCAGACGTAAATGTCAGATGTAAATTTCGCTAAAACATTTCTTTTATTTTCGTTTGTGTTTTTTGCTCATTACAGTTTAATAGAACCTAAGTATGGAGTTTAATAGCAAATTAAGAGGCCGCGTGATTAACAGTCAATCTCGCGAAATAATAGCCAATGTTATAGAGTTTATGAGAAGAGAAGGAAACTTTAATTCACCTTCAATACCATTTAAAAATGTAAATGATCGTGTTGCTGCAGCCACAGGAGTATCTAAAAACACTGTCGTCCGCATTTCTGGAGAGAAAAAAAGAATCGATAACCGTGAGATATCGGAATTTTCATCACCAAGAAAAACCATTAAAAAACCAAAAACAGTTAATGATATAGATGAAGCTGCACAAGAATCAAATTTTATTTTTTTATTATTAGATAGCTATTTTTGTTTCTGAGTTGTGTTCATTTACAGGCTCAATTTTTTTCCGTTTCTCCTTTTTGATTTTATATGGGGTTTCAAGTTGTTTTTGACTTATTTCGACGTAAATCACAACAACACACTTTTTTAATAAAGCAAACAAGTGTTAAGAGGTATATGTACGTGTAAACTACAATTACAAAAAATTGATATGAAACCCATGAAACCACCAACAAAAATGTAAAGCTAGCTTCCGTACTAGAACATGGTGTCATTCGTCGAGATAATTTATCGTTTTGTTTAATAGATCAAGAAATGTAAATATTCCCCTGTTATTTTTTATAAAATTATAAGAGAAATAATTTTTTTTCTAAATAGTATAGTTTATTATTTTGTAGAAAAACAAAATTTCGAAAATTTTAGTAATGTTTCAGAAACAACCGTTATTAATAATAGGTACCATTTTCCTTAATAAGGTAGAAATAAAATATAAACTATTTCCACGATTTACAAAGGCCTACAAAAAAATTATAGGTATTTTCCGCTATCCTATAAAATTTATATTTTCTGACTCAATTTCAAAAGGTTGAAGGAATTCCAAAACACCTTTTATGGCATAATAATTATTTTCAATTCTACATACTATCTTTAGCTGCTTTTAAAAACGTTCTAAGAAAGTCCAATCAGACCAATTTAATCCCTAAACTATTCCACACTTTTAAAATTTAATTACCTAAAAATATTAAAAACTATTTAAAATAACTTGTTTAGCAGACTGTACAATAGCTATCTTAGTCACACGTAGCGCGTTCTCTGTCTGGGCGTCGAACACCTCTAGAAATTTGATAAACTGTACTCTTTAAATTACCAATCCAGGTTACCCGTACTCTTGCTCAATTGCGTATGTCCAACCATTTTAGGATTAAATTTACATTAAATAGTATTAGTTATGTTATTGACCCCGAACTAGATTGTACTGTGTGTAATACACATGAAAAAGAAACAATTTTTCACATACTTTTTGATTGCCCTATTTACTCAACAATGAAGCAAAATATCACTTGCCTTGAAAATGTAAACTCATTGCTGCATACTTTACAAAATATAACAATTTTTGAAGCTAGGAAAATTGCTGAATATATTTGGAATATATTAAAATTGCGCTCTTTTGTACTGGAAGAATAATGTTGTTTTTATGTTTTAAGATCTAATTTTTTTATATCTGTACTCATTGCTGTAACTCAGGTTTAGAAGCAATAAATATTATTATTATTATTATCATACCTAACAAACAGATTTATGTGGCCCAAAAGAAAAAAAAGGTTGAGTACAGCTGATCTAAATCTTCAAGTTTACTAATGATTAATTTACAAGCTAGTTTGCGTTTTGTTTATAGACCATTCTTCCTCGTTAATTTAAGAACGGCTGCTACTGCTAATATTAATTTAAAAATTGGGAAGACAAAAATTCTTTTAGTTTAGAAGAATTTAAATATTTAACTTCAATTTCTAAACAGAATTTCCAAGTATTATATTAATTTTGTGAACCAATAAAACAATATGGTAACTTAAGAAACATTGCTTCTGGATGGATTGTCAGATGAGTTCCCAATCTGATATAAATATACATAAAGAGGCAATATAAAGAGCCAATGCTCCAGTCAAAATAAACATTTAACCTGATCGTTATTCATTTCCCTAAATCCTACTTAGACCTACAGTATAACGAACTTTTTTTGTAATTAAATAATGTATGACTCTGTATGTGAACTAATAAGAATTTTTTGACAAACAACTCCAGAGTTAAAAGGCAATTATTTTCTATTTTTTGCCAACAATTTCAACATTTTTTTTTTTTTCACCTTACATATTCAAATGCAATCTAAGAAATAATTTTGGCTGCCCTCAAATAGTACAAGGGATATATTTCTAATCCAACACTGTGTGTCAAATTATCTAATATACAGTATTTCTCTGAAACATATCTACTTATGTTAGTATTATATTGTTTAAAATTCATATATTTGATACATATTAAGTTATATTTGGAAAACTAGTCATAGGATCTAATTTTACCAATAAGAATTTTGAACGAGTACATCGAGTACTATACGATATCAAATATTGAGAAACTTTGACGGAATATTTTTTTTTTTTTCGGTATTTCGGCTATTTTTGTTCGGTGGAAATACCTATTTTGACCAAAAGAGATCTGCCGAATCACCCTGTAAGGGACAATATTTTAATTACAGTAGTTAAGTATATATTTTGACTACACAGAATGAGCAAATAACTTCCAAATATATTTTAGGGTGATTTATGGTGTCCATTTTAAAGAATTAGGGATTTCTAACTTCAACACCCTGTATCTCAAAATCTAGTCATAGGATACGATTGGGCCCATGGACACTTTTGATGGGGACATCAAGTAATTTAACATATAAAAAATTCAGACATTTTGACGGTACTCCCGTTTGCATAAGAAAAGTGTGTGGTCCTTTGTAAATGATAATATTTAGATAACCATTTTTTTTTTTCAATATGATTCTGTCCACTAACTTATGATATGTTATCCCCAAACATCCATGATTATACCCTATAATTTTTTGATTTCCACATGATCTAGGATTGTACAATTTCATAAAATACAAGATAACATTATATCCTCTAGGTCTTTCAATGAATACTATATAAATTGAAACGAACACAATAAACACCAAAAAAACACATTCCACAAAAGTTATAAGTAAATGTCACAAATGACATTAGGATGGTAACAATATGGCGCAGGTGATACACCTCCATGTGGAGAACAGTCATTACTTAATAGCTTTAGTAGCAACACAATAGGTTATTTCATTCGCTGTTGGTACAGTGTCCTCCAGTGAAAATTACCCCTTATTTACCTAGTTTACTTCCTTCTTATTCCTTATACATACACATGTCAAGTGTTATTCACTCCTGCTAAATAGCTGGTGGAGAAAATATCCACCAGTGGACACATTGCTGACAGAAAGGTGTAGTGGATTTTACACCGGGCCAAATGAAAAGTTTAGTGTCTGTTGGTGTAGTTCATTCCTACACCAGTGGGACGAACAAAAATCTAAAATCAATGACTTATTTTACAGAACTGATCATTACTTTTCATAAAAGTCACTAAAATTAAAATTTCTTGTTTTACCAGATCATCTGGGATACAGGTATTGCTGAAGACTCATTATTGACTGGTGTTATATTTAAATAACTTCCGCCATTGTAATGTATGTCTGAATTCTTTAGGTTTGGGTCATATACTAACTTGTCTTTTAATTATTTCTAAATTCCTTTGGGCTTCTTTGAGTTGATTTTGAATTACTGTAGATTCTGTACATTGTTTGTTTTGTTTGAAAGTATCACGTATTTTGCGAATGGCATACTCCCTATAAAAATGTATTATTAAAATGTATAAATATACTTAATGAAGTGATATTCACCTAAAATTATATGAAGGAATTTTACTGGATTCTCTCAACATGGTTCTGTATAGTTGCAGCGTTTTGGTTTTAGAAGCCATCACAAAGTAGTTATTGTTAAATTCTTAAAAAAGTATGGCAAGTAAGAATATAAGTAATTTATTATTTATCTAATTAACCATTCCAACGACCTGTCAAGCTGCTGACAATTGACAAGTGGGAACTGACATTTAGATATGGCAACCCTGTGAGCCTGTTGTCAATATGGCTGCGTTCATCCGCGCCACATGCTACCTGATCGATCTGGGACCGTATTCTTGAGTCGTAGGAACGGCGTTCCTATAGGAATAGAGGGCGTGTTTCTCCTGAAATTCGCTAAGCCCGTATTCTTGAAGTCATAGGAACGTTCACTTCCTACGAAAGTCGTAGGAACATCGTTCTACAGGGGACCTATTTTCAAACCGTGTGAGTACTCATTTCTCTCAAGATTCTCATCAGAAATGTCATACGTCAATGTGGAAACGCTGTTTTTAAAGGCCTCGAGGATTAAAATTCTTAGGAGGATATTAATTATCTCTAAATAAACCGTGAGAAACAATCAGTGAGTTTACACTGGCCCTTAGGACCCTAAAAATACTGTTTTACGTTGACGTATGACATTTCTCTCGAGAGAAATGAATTCTCTCGACTTTGAAAATAGCACCCCAGGGGACCTATTTTCAAACCGTGTGAGTACTCATTTCTCTCAAGATTCTCATCAGAAATGTCATACGTCAATGTGGAAACGCTGTTTTTAAAGGCCTCGAGGATTAAAATTCTTAGGAGGATATTAATTATCTCTAAATAAACCGTGAGAAACAATCAGTGAGTTCACACTGGCCCTTAGGACCCTAAAAATTACTGTTTTACGTTGACGTATGACATTTCTCTCGAGAGAAATGAATTCTCTCGACTTTGAAAATAGCCCCCCCGGTATTTCGTAGGAGAACGCCGTGTTCTCTCAAGAATTATTAGTAAACGCATGCGGGGTAGCTGATTTATTATTTTTGGCCCGTAATTAAGTAATTTTTTTAACTTTTTTCATATTCGTACATTTCGTATTTTTATATTTTTAATAAAAATCATTATTGATAACAATAGAGTGAATAATTTATTAGCATAAGTAAAATATTATTTGGTACCTCATCACAAAAATCAATTATTGTAATTCTAATAAATGCATGGGTACCTATACATACCTACATATCTATTATTCGTATTCTGGGAATTGTAAATTAGGGAAAATCCCAAAATCCTAATAAATAAGGGTCGTACTATTTAGTAGGTAGGTACCATTTAAGCTATATTTATTGCCTAAAATGGGAATACAAATTATGAAAAATCCCAAAATTGATATTAGTGTTCAGTGTTAAGAAGTTTATAAATTGTCTTCTATGACAAATATCTTTACTGAAAGCAAATTGTATGGTTTTGTTTTGTAAAAATAATTACAAAATTAGAAAAACACAAAGAATGAGTGTTAAAAATGTTAATTTAATCCCATTAAACTGAGAAAGTGATATTTGAAAAGTTGAAATAAAGTATAAGTATTGACAATAATCTAGTTAAGCTACAGTTAGTTAAAGTAGGTAGCACGGAGGAAGGATAATTAAGAGTTGCAGATTCCGTAGGTAATAAACAAAAGTTATAAAAAAATGTTCGAAATAAATTATAACCCTTTATATAATAACTTAGTTGAAAATATTTCAAATTTCTATGAGGCGGTCACTCCAGTTTATATAATTAGTCTAATCTATATATTTGTAAACATATGTATTGAATTTTCTTTACCGAATTTTTATTAATAAAATTATTTATTTGATATTAATACAAACTTACTTTTCTTTAGCACAAAATTTAAAACAAAATCGACTACCTATACTATAAATTTCCGGTTTGCAAATTTAATTTTTAATTAAGTATCTTAAAAAAGTGAACTCTGTAATGGCTGTACGTTTTTCTTTTCCCTCTTCTATGCTTTTAATAAAAAAATATATATATATATTTTTATCATATTTTAGAAAACTCCTACGAAACGACCTCTCAATCACACTCTTAATTTCTAATTCATAATTAATATTCTCCAAATATGATAAAGCTAGATTGGTGAAAAATAATAAACAAATACAACAATGACTAGGTACATATTATTATATTAGATTACTAGAGGATAGCTAAGTTAGCTGATTTCTTACCTAAGACGCAGAGATATATCTTTTTTAAATCAAGCCTTTTAACTTTTTTTGCATAGATATTTATAAAGTGCTATAATGTAACCTAAATATGACAATTTATTAGAAGAGAATAAATTATATTTTTATATAAAAAGATTTTACTTCTCAATACATTGAATAAAAAAGAAATTGATAACTTGTTTACCTATTATTAATTAAAGGAAATTATATAGAAATTAAAAAATATGACTTACTTTGTTGTTTTAAATAAAACAACCAATGTTAGTGTATTGAAATTTGTTTGAATTTTACAAATTTTATGCTTGATTTCCAAAGTAGATATATCGATGGCTCAATCAAAAAACGCCACAAGTCAAAAAACAAAGCAATTACATTTTTGGTTCAATGGATGCAAAATATCATTACGGTTTTACTTTAAATATCACCACAAACAAAAATATCCTTAAAGATAAATCATTTAAAATGTAGCCACAAACTGTGTCTAAAACTGCCTCAATTCGAGTTATTTTCTTCAAAAACACCCAAATTTTTTACAACTATGCAACAACTCACTTTTATAATCATAATCATTTTATTTAACAGCAAAATATCGAAGCTTTTAAATAAAATATAAAGAGTATGTCAAAAACAAAATAATGATAATAATAATGATACAAAATTTCAAAATGAAATTTCTCGAAATAATAGTAATTTAGTTGTGGCAGTATTTGATTGAGCCATTGATATGTAGATTTTATAAAAAACAACTGGTGTTTTTTAGCAAGATATTCTATTATACTTGAGAGTATCATCTATGATTTCTTTCAACTTTTCTGCTGGGTTTTCACTTGAAATGATGGTTGCATTTCCAGGCAATCTAGCCTGTTGAAGAAAATGAACTGCTTGAATTCTGATATACCTGACATATCATGTACCTATAGATTCACTTTTTATAAAACTTCAGGTTTTATATTCTTCTTTACACTTCTGTAGTATTTACTTTTGCTTCTAAAATTCCTAGAATGTCGAAGGAAACCTAAAAAATAATATTTTTAAAATGTATTTTTAGTTCGATAAAGTATAATTACCTTTTATAAGTATTTGGTGTAAAATGTTGCCGGACATTCGGTTAAATGTTTATCTTCTGGTTTACAACGATTGATCTGCAATTCTTTGTATTTATTGTAGTTTTTTTTATTTGGTGTCATCGGCATCGACTGCTAAAGATACTTAATGAATGAAATAATAAATTTACATCAGGCATTGTAATCTGAAACAAAGACAATGGTTTAGAAAATATTTATCTATTTTATAGAGGACCCTTACCAAATCTATTCGAATGTATAAATAATAATTATTTATAAAATAAATTCTGGATGTCGAAAAATAAACCATTAAAAAAGACAATTGACAAGAAAAACTGACAAGTGACAATTGACATAAAACTAAACGTTCTGAAATCAGATTTGTAATGTTTACGGTAGGTTAACTAGGTAAATAACAAATAGAAGTTTTGCGAGGTTTTGATTTCCCTCAACAACTTCTCATGAACGTTGCATTTACGTTGTATAGTAATGTTATTACGTTCCCTTAATGCAACATCGCCGAAAGGCTTGGCAACGTTATGTGCTAGCTGGGAAAAAATTAAGAAAAACCAGCTGGGTCTGAATCTGTGCCGCTATTATGGAATTTATGGAAATTCAAGCTAGCGGATCCGCTGTTTTTTCGGACCTGGGCTAAGCTACAAATTTGCAAATAGTGTAACAAAAAAGCTACAAAAAACCCGCCAGGTCTTGAATGGTGCCGCCACAGAGTGCCCGCTAGCTTGATATAGCTGATTATTACACGGCCTCGCAATGAAATCGAGACAGGCGTAACAAAAAAGCTACAAAAAATGAGCCGGGTCCGAGCTGGTGCCACTACAAATATCCGCTAAGTTAGCGGATCCGCGCTTTTCTCAGGTTCAGTACGAGCTACAAAAGGGAGACTGGCGTAACAAAAAAGCTACAAAAAAGTTACGAAAAACCAGCTGGGTCTGAATCTGTGCCGCTACTATGGAATTTATGGAAATTCAAGCTAGCGGATCCGCTGTTTTTTCGGATCTGGGCTAAGCTACAAATTCGCAAATAGCGTAACAAAAAAGTTACAAAAAACCCACCAGGTCTTGTATGGTGCTACCACAGAGTGCCCGCTAGCTTGATATAGCCACATTTTATAGAATCTGAAATTTTTTTATGGAATCTGGTACATTTTTTAGACAAATCTGGTACATAACAAAAATATATTCTGGCAACACTGTCGACAATATTAGCATTGGCAACCCATTGTGAACCCAGCTTTGGTTTTTCTATGGCAACATTGGATAAATTTAAATTTGATTTTTGTTTACGGTTTTTTTTACAAGCAAAGGAAGCAAAAAGCAAGTAATTTACCTTTATGAATGAAGCATGCTGTCTCTAACTAGCAGAACTAGCTTGTCTTAAGAGTTAGTTATTTTACCATTGTACCTGTGCCTACCATTTATGGTTTAAAAAGTTTTTTACTAAGAACTAAGGTAAGTAAAAAATAAATTTGGGAACTCGATATGCTTTACGTACGTTGGAATTTGGAACACTAAAAATTATTCTATTCTATATAGGTAGTATATATAAAAAAACTGCGAATAACCGACTGTTTTGTAAGAAAAATTGATCGAAAGTTGAAAGATTTTGATGTTTCTAACCTAACATTTTATCGTTTTCATTTAAATGTTTTCATGTGAAAATTTTTAAGATTAAAATATTCTTTGGTGACATATCACTTTAGTGTCACAAAATTACAGATTTGACATATGTTTTAAATAAAACTACAGATAGATATTTCTTGATTTTTGGAAAAAAAATTGCGGATTATAGTCAAAATTCAAAAATATGGCCTTTCCAAGTTGGAACTATTTTTTATTGCGGATGTTGAAAACTACCTATTACTTGATAAAAGCGTAGTAATTTAGATTCGCGCATGCTCTCTTGTGCGTTTGTCGAGAATTTGATTTTATTTATCGCAATTTTATTTGTGTTTTTATATTTTACATAGTGTTTTTTTGATTATTTATTAAAAACTATTTATGAGCATATTGCATTTTAAATCAATAAATATTTCTAAATTTTATGTTGTGTTTACTGCAACAATCAATAGATAAGGCAACTTAGGTTTGTTTGGTAGCGATATTAAGCTGAGAAGCAAGAACGTATATTCTTTGATCTGTGTCAGTTGGCCGGGAAGCAAATTATTTTAAAAATTATGTTTTCATTACAGGCGACATTCAATTAATTTTTACGTGGGTTCGGTTACATTTTTTTTTTAATTATTTTGATATTTCCATAATGACAAAAATTCAATTTTTTTGTTAGTGATGTTTTCTTGTACAAATATGGAAAAAATGTTTCATGACGAAAAATATTTTTTTTTTAAATTGTTTCTCTATAGGTAAACATACTGCATTTTTCCAAACAACAAAATATATAGTTTTAGATCACTTCAATTTTTCATTATATTTTTCTCGAAAAATGCTGTTTTTCTATTTTTTTTTGCGAAAATTTACTATAGAAACTAGTTATTTTTGGGTGTTGACAAATTTTTGCAAAATTCGTACTTGAACTCGGCGAACAATTCACTCATGTTCCAAAAAATAAAAAAATTGAGGTTAGAAAAAAATGGTTATATTTTGAAAAAATCCGCACTTTTTTGTAAAGAATTAGTCTCTACTACATTCAAAATGGTTCTATTTTTTTTCTAAATGGCTTATTTTTTGTGACACTAAAGTGTTATGGACCCTATTCTTTAATTGCACAAATCTTTATAAATTAATCAAAATTATTTGTAAAATAATTATAAAAAAATTGACTTGAAAATTAAATTGCAATTAAATTTGACAAATTAATACACGAAAATAAAAAAAAATCATATAATATAGACTTCGTTTGCTCTTCTCTGGTTGTTGAGAAGTAGTCCATACATTTTACATATTTTTACAACTTTGCTGAGAACTTTCATTATTCCTTTTCTATTTTAGATGAGCCATTTTCAATACGTTACATCTGATAAAGTATGTGATAACTGCCATAAATTTTTGTCAGTAACTCCAGTCAAAGTATATCCAAACAGAAGAATAAAATGTGGCAGATGTTCAACAAGCAATGATGAAGAAGAGGATGGTGGTGTACATTCTGTGTACAATCAAATTGCTACAAGAATTTCTTTCGAGTGCATTAACAAGTTTGATGGTTGTACACAATTATTGCAATCATCGGATGTGGTTGAACACGAAAAAATATGTTTATCCAAAATATGCACCTGTCCTATTTGTTTGGAAGAAATGTTTACGTTTTTAATAATTCGCCATTTTAAAGTAAATCATCCCGAATCTTTATTAGGAAAACCTCATTTTCAAATAACTGATTTAAAGAATATAGAAAAAACATTTTTATACCAATTAGAATTTGATTTGCTTTTTGTGAACTTTCGTGATGTATCTGATTCGTTTGCGGATAATTTAAGGTGTTTTTCATTAAACTTTCTATTACATTTGGGAAAAAAAGACTACATTAAAAATTTCAGTACAGATTTCTTTTTCTTCGAGAAAAATACTGATATTCTAGGCAAAACTATTTGCACAAGAGGAAACACTTCAGTTACATATAATATAACTTTAAATATTACATGTGAGTCAAAGTTGCTGGTAATGTTTCATTTATATTGTGACGAATCAAAAAGTGCTGTAGTCAATGTAATACAACACAAAATAAATAAAATAGAAGAAAATAATAATTTGAAATTTTTAACTCAAAATAATTCCGATTTAAAAATATTTCATAAACAGCTGGGAGAATATTTTAAAACTGTTTTATTTCAGAAGCGTGATATTTTTGTGAATGAAAAATTTGAAGAATCTGTTTCAGATTTAGCGATTACTGGAAAAGCAACAATTTCTTATACAAAATTAGATGAAAAAGTCACCATTACATTTAGTTGTTATTATTGCTCGTTATTTTGTCCTTGTGGTTTTGAAGATAATAGTGATAAAGTATATTTGATTGGAAATAATGGTCATTATTATACACTGTGTTTTGGATGCCCTAATATAGACAATTTAGTTACAAAAGAAGATTTTACATATGACGAATTAAGAGAAATTATGTTTTTTTGCACCTGGGGTTGTGGAACACTTTGTGGTTATGAAGAGTTGTGTATGCATGAAAGAAATTGTAAAAAACTAATTTATCAGAAATGTCCCATTCAATCATGTTTTCATTATTTGAAATTATACGCAATTAAACAGCATGTTGAAAACGAACATTCATTAGTAATTTGCCAATCAATCGATTTATATCCGGCAAAGATTAAGGTAAATTTAGATATTTCCAGATCTACCATAGAGCATATTGTGTTAATATGGTGTGTATGCGTTCTTGTTAAATTTAAATGGGAACAACCAAATTGGATTATCAGTTTAACTTGTGAAATACCAGGTATAATAATAAAAGCTAAAATATTTAATTTGAAAAAAAAACTAATATCTGCAATAATTGAAAGTGGTTTAATTCCACACAATAAGGAAATACAAGTACGTCTATATTGTTTAGATACCAAAAAAGTTATTTAAAAACAAGTGTTTAACCTCAAATTGACAAAAAAGTGATTGGGTGACCAATTTATTGTTTAACTTTTGATCCATTTTAAATGCTTAGGTATATATGTATATAGGTACTTTCAAAAGTATTGGATACATCAAAATAATAATTTCATTCACCATGATTGTTATTTTTTTTTAATTAACACATTTTACTTACTGGAAATTAACTTACCTCTTTTTACTTATAGGACAATTTTTTTTAAATTAAATTAGAACACCCTGAACATTTCGGCATAATCAAAAAGTACTACTGAAAATATCGAATCGTCAAATCAACTATATACTCGTAATGCCATTTATAGATCATTAGATTTTCCCCAAACATTCAAATCTTATGGAAATTGGGTCCCGGTCAAATTCGCTGAATTTTTGAAATGTAATAGAGTTCATCATACTGGTCAATTATCTCAATGGCCACAAAGCTCAAAAATGGATAGTTTGGCCGGTACAAAGCTTTAAAGCTCCGAGTATCCTCCACGGATTTATGTATATGCGCAGGGTGTATAGACTTTTGAAATGGCCTATTTCATTTTTTGTATTATCTAGGTTTATATTTTTGAGGTTGCTGAATTCTGATGTTGTTAGATATAGAAATTGACAGTTGGCAGCTGTCAAATAGCTGTCAATGTGCTATAATAAAGCCAAAAACTTGTTTTTTTAATGTTTTTTCTTTCTTTTTTTTTAGTTCGATTAGTTCAAAGATGATATCAAATCAATAACAATGACTATCGGCAGCTGTCATTTAGCTGTCAACAATTATTCAAAGTCCGGTAATAAAGTCAAAAAATTATTTTTTGTTTATAACTTCAAGTTTTTTAGATAAGTGAATATAAATATGATATAAAATTATGTAGTCATCTAGCTTACAGCTGTCAACTAAAGTTTATGACATCACTTTTGAACTCAGTGATCTAAGCAACTTAAAGCTTTTTAAAAAAGTAACTTCTTGATTTTATTATTGCATTTTGACAGTTTGCTGATTGATAGGGGACAGCTGTAAGCCAAGAATTTCCAAATAGAAAAATACATTGATGCTTTTTGTCATTGTTAAAGTTTATTTCCAATTATTTTTATAACTTTGGCTTTTACTCTTTTAGTAATGCTTAAATTCACTTTTCTACCGTCGCCATTAGCGTAATCCAATGTGCACCGCGGGGAGTTTAGACGATCGGATTTTGCACTGAGTTCAAAAGTGATGTCATAAAACTTATATCATGTTTGATTTCTTATCCACAAAGTTAAGCAAAAAAAATAAGTTACTTGCTCTATTAATAATAATAATAATAATAATAAATGCTTTTATTGGCCAAACTAAGTACCTAATACAAAGAAAGAAAAAATATATATAAATACAAATAGTTTGCCAAATGGCAGAGTTCAAAATCTCTGATAAAAATCAGAGTTTTGCTCTTCCACTCAACCAGTATTATGATAGACATACCTATACATCTTTCGATGTATAGATGTGCCCTGCATGTTTACTTAATAATTATTCAATCTAGCGCACAATATGGCTTTACGAATATGAGAGAAAAAAATATTGAAAATCCAAAACCGTAAACAACTTAACATCTTAACTTTAAAAATAAAAAAGTAAAAATCAGCCAGATGAGTAAGAACCAGTAAGTATATCAATAATAACATTACAATAATACTATAATATAATAAAAACGAATATAAAATTTAATTTTATCTAAAAACTATAACTATCGACCTACAGAATTTATTAGTAATTTTCTATCTAGCATATTATTATTATATTATTATTATATTATTGCATTTTGACAGTTAGTTGACAGCTGTAAGCTAGATGACTACATAATTTTATATCATATTTATATTCACTTATCTAAAAAACTTAAAGTTATAAACAAAAAATAATTTTTTGACTTTATTACCAAGAAATGTTGACAGCTAAATGACAGCTGCCGATAGTCATTGTTTTTGATTTGATAACATCTTTGAACTTATCGAACTAAAAAAAAGAAAGCTAAAACATAAAAAAACAAGTTTTTGACTTTATTATAGCACATTGACAGCTATTTGACAGCTGCCAACTGTCAATTTTAAAAATCTAACAACAGATCTGAATTCAGAAACCTCAAAAATATAAACCTAGATAATAAAAAAAATGTAATAGGCTATTTCAAAAGTCTATACACACTGCGCATATACATAAATCCGTGGAGAATACTCGGAGCTTTAAAGCTCTGTACCGACCAAACTATTCATTTTTGACCTTTGTGGCCATTGAAACAATTGACCAGTATGATAAACTATCACATATCAAAAATTTAGCGAATTTGACCGGGACCCAATTTCCATAAGATTTGTGCGGGGTCGTTTTCAAGTCAGTTTATTCCTTCTTATCTTAGGTATTTTAGCATAAAGTTATCTTTCAACTACCTTGTCTTTTATAATATTCTCCTTTATTTTTTATTGTCTTTGTTGATATCTTTTCCATGATTGTTTTTTCTACTTAACCTCTTTAATTACGTTTTAGAATATGGGAAAGAACATGAGGCTTTCAGAATATCCAAAAATATAGTGTGTAGGCTGGTTAATTTTGAATAAAAAATCCTATATGCAAAATTAGGTTTATTAATGTCTAATATTTTTATGCTATTAAGCAAAAGTATATAATTATAATTTTTTACTTGCTTCTTTTTTAAAAAGTTTTTTTTCTCACTGCTTATTATAATTTTATTTGATTTTGTTTATTTTATAAACTTGAATGTGTTTTATTTGAAATTAGTTAATTAAATAATTTGTTATATATTCTAGTTTTTTTTTTATATTGAAAAGAACTCTTATTATTTCTCGTCTTTTTTAATTGATATTGTGGAATTAATATATTGTCTATACAGTTCTCGGAGAATAATTAATTTTTGCTTTATTGTAGTGAAAATGTTATTTATTATATAGTACCTTTTGCCCGCGGCTTTGCACGCGTGGTATCGTGTTTATAATTTAAAAAAATGAATGATTATTAATTTTTATTATTTGTACTAATTTTTTTTATTAACTTTTATTAATTTTATTAGTTATTATTAATTTTTATTGGTTTTTATTAATTTTTATTAATTTTATTAGTTTTTATTAATTTTTATTAATTTTTATTAATTTTTATTATTTTTATTAATTTTTATTAATTTTTATTAATTTTTATTAATTTTTATTAATTTTTATTAATTTTTATTAATTTTTATTAATTTTTATTAATTTTTATTAATTTTTATTAATTTTTATTAATTTTTATTAATTTTTATTAATTTTTATTAATTTTATTAATTTTTATTAATTTTTATTAATTTTTATTAATTTTTATTAATTTTTATTAATTTTTATTAATTTTTATTAATTTTTATTAATTTTTATTAATTTTTATTAATTTTTATTAATTTTTATTAATTTTTATTAATTTTTATTAATTTTTATTAATTTTTATTAATTTTTATTAATTTTTATTAATTTTTATTAATTTTTATTAATTTTTAATAATTTTTATTAATTTTTATTAATTTTTATTAATTTTTATTAATTTTTATTAATTTTTATTAATTTTTATTAATTTTTATTAATTTTTATTAATTTTTATTAATTTTTATTAATTTTTATTAATTTTTATTAATTTTTATTAATTTTTATTAATTTTATTAATTTTTATTAATTTTTATTAATTTTTATTAATTTTTATTAATTTTTATTAATTTTTATTAATTTTTATTAATTTTTATTAATTTTTATTAATTTTTATTAATTTTTATTAATTTTTATTAATTTTTATTAATTTTTATTATTTTTATTAATTTTTATTAATTTTTATTAATTTTTATTAATTTTTATTAATTTTTATTAATTTTTATTAATTTTTATTAATTTTTATTAATTTTTATTAATTTTTATTAATTTTTATTAATTTTTATTAATTTTTATTAATTTTTATTAATTTTTATTAATTTTTATTAATTTTTATTAATTTTTATTAATTTTTATTAATTTTTATTAATTTTTATTAATTTTTATTAATTTTTATTATTTTTATTAATTTTTATTAATTTTTATTAATTTTTATTAATTTTTATTAATTTTTATTAATTTTTATTAATTTTTATTAATTTTTATTAATTTTTATTATTTTTATTAATTTTTATTAATTTTTATTAATTTTTATTAATTTTTATTAATTTTTATTAATTTTTATTAATTTTAATAATTTGATTTTTAATAATTTTTAATAGTTTTTAATAGTTTTTAATAATTTTCAATAATTTTTAATAATTTTTAATAATTTTTAATAATTTTTAATAATTTTTAATAATTTTTAATAATTTTTAATAATTTTTAATAATTTTTAATAATTTTTTAATAATTTTTAATAATTTTTAATAATTTTTAATAATTTTTAATAATTTTTAATAATTTTTAATAATTTTTAATAATTTTTAATAATTTTTAATAA